GCTAATTTTTTTTTTTTTTTTTTTTTTTTTTGTATTTTTAATTGAGATAGGGTTTCACCATGTTGGCCAGGCTAGTCTTAAACTCCTGACCTCAGGTGATCCACCCACCTCGGACTCCCAAAGTGTGGGGATTACAGGCATGAACCACCATGCCCAGCCACCTTTTTATAATTAAGAGGTTACTTTGAGGGCAGGGTTGGCTGGAGCCACAGAGACAAATATGGAAGGGGAGTCTGTATTTTTTTTTAACCTTTTGCTTCGACAGTAGGGTGCAAGAATTGGCCCATGGCCTTGTTAACACTGTGCTCTGAGCTCACATCAACCTGGGTGTAGTGTTTATGTACAGAAATGAAAAGCCTTACTTTTAAGTTGCTGCCTATGGGGATGGGCTCTTTCAGGTTAATACAGGTCATTTGAGGGCTTGTCTCGGTTTTTCCTACCGAATTGGACTCCCTGATGTACTCTTCTGAACCTCGGGGTAGGAAGGGCAAGATGACCAATTACCATGAACATAACTTGCCATTAAGCATGGGTTTCCTGTTCTACTGGCTACTTGCTGTCAAGCAGGATTTGCAGTGAGAGTGAGTTTGCTCTGGACGGGGCTGGTGTGTAGCATGGACACGTCCCATCACACATCACCCTGTGCTGTGCTTTCTCCTCCCCGGTTCTGACCTTGGGAGGGGCCGGACAAACTGGCTGCCGGTGTTCGGTTTTCCCAGGGCTGGCTGACTAGGCTTTCCAGAAGCTACCTGGATTCTTTTTTAACAAGTGATGGGCAGTCACTGTGAGGTACCTGGGAGGCATTGAAATGGATGGTGAAGTATCTGGGTCCTAGCACTGGCTGTCATTCACTAGCTGGGTAACCTTGAATAGGTCAGTTGGCCTTTACTTGTTAAGGGAGAGGGTTGGATTAGATGAATGTCAGTTCTGCTCCTGATTTCACTGAGTAGTTACTGCATACGAGGTGCTGTGGGAGCTCAGGTCTGTGCCATCAGGACACTGACAGCCTGCTTCGGGTGCACACGGTGGCTGGGCCGTCTGTTCATGAGAGGGAAGGCCGTGTGTCCCTCATGTGTCCTCTCCCTGGGCACAGAAAGGAAGGGCTCCTCCCCCGGGCTCAGAAGGCTCCCTGGAAGACGGGGCATCTAAGTGAGACCTGAAGGATGCGTGGGAGTTGGGAAGATGCAGGTGGCAGGAAAGGAGGCAAGCTCTTTGCTTTCTCATTCTAATGCTCTGCTTCTGTCCTCTCCAAATTGGGTGCTCACCTCCGATTAAAGTCAGGTTCTTCCTGATGTTTTAGTAGCCCTTCCAGTTGCCATGTTGGCTGTTGTGTGTGGGCTCTGAAGTATTGCTGGAAGTGAGAGTGAGGAGGCGTGGAGGAGACAGAGGGAAGGACCTGGAGGTATCCTCCCTGGGATTATTTGATTTTTGAATTCGTAGAAAGCCACAACACTGGGTTAAGCCTGGGTGATGGTGGAGGGTTCATGGGGATGATGAAGGAGTCACCTACCTAAAAAGTGGTGCTTGTGGGTTCCAGGTGTCACTTTAAAGTGGACCTCAATCAACTGTGAGCCAATTAACCCTGGAAATAGACTGACTCTGCCAGAGTACTGAGGTGGTCCTGCGCAACAAAGGGAAGGTGGTGCTATGCCCATCTGAGTCACCACCTTTATCCCGTCACAGCTCCAGAGCCACCCAGGTTCCTGGGTTCTTTTCTAAGGTCCCCCCCTCCATATTTGCTTTTTTTTCCATACCATTTAACATATTCCTGCCCCATGTTTTAGGTCACACTCAGCCAATACCAGAGAGAAGCAGAACAGAGTAACGTGGCCCTTCAGAGAGAGGAGAACAGAGTGGAGCAGAAAGAGGCAGAAGTCGGAGAGCTGCAGAGGCGCGTGTTAGGGATGGAGACGGTAATTGGGGGTCTTGCTTGTCAGTGCCTGGACTCCTGGGCTGAAGTGGGCTGCAGGTGGATTCAAACGGTTGCTGAGACGCTTCTCTTCCGAGCATCTCTGGAATAGCACACTTGGCAGCTTCCTTTGGCAAATCCCTCGGAGTACCTTTTAGCCTTCAAGGAATTGGCTTCCCCCTAACTAGAGCTGAGCCCATTTCCCCCTTAGGCAGATTCCTGCACAGATGCCCGTTTTGAAGACCTGGTTTCTCGGGGACTGGCAGCCATAGCTGGCGAGTGGGTCCACATGACGCAGGGCTGGGTTCTGCCTCCGGGCCTCTGGGTGAGGCTGAGTGAGAGTGGGAAGGGTTCTCCCCGACAAGGGAGGGCGCCCCATCAAACCAGCTCATCTTGCTGCTCTTTGGCAGCCGTCCAGGCCCAGCAGGGGCTAAGTCCCAGCCTGGCGCCCGTCTCACCCCAGACACAGAAACTCTTGCCATCTTCTCATCCTAGATTTTCTTTTGTGGCCCACGCAGGAGCATCAGGCCTTACTGGCGAAAGTCAGGGAAGGGGAGATGGCCCTAGAGGAACTTCGGAGCAGCAATGCTGACGGCCAAGCAGAACGAGAAAAGTAAGGGCTCGGTTCTTCTTCACTGTGAAGTTGGGTTGCAGGGAGGGGAGGGCGGGCCGTGCAGCCTGTAGCTCCTGTGGTGGCTGGGTCTGGGGAGGAAGCTGGTGCTGATGTCAGATCTTCCAGCTCTGACTCACCGTGAGCTTGCTCAGGGTGGAGCCCCACCCAAGAGATACCATTTGGAAGGCCGCCATCCCCAGGCAGTTCATTTTCCACGGGGTAATAACCTAAAGAAAAGGCTTTCACAGTTTGAGAGCCAACGGCAAGTGAGAGCTGGCGGAGCCTCTGCTGTTGCTATGCGTCATTCCACAGATTCAGGCAGTGGATATGTTATGCCTTCGTTTCGTCTCCACCAAAACAAAAACTGACTGTGAACTATTTGAGGGTAAAATTGAATAATGAGTCATCCTGATGAAAAATGGAATGAGCAGCTTCATGAGGAGATACTGAACTTCCTGTTACTTGAAGCAATTCAGATAGAAACCAAGAACCCGTCAGCAGGGCCCCATAGGTGATTACTGAGATCCTTTCTACCTCCAAGGTGAGATGGTTTGCGAATTCCCTCTGATCAGAGGAAATCTGAGGCCCCAGGCAACCAACGAAACCTACAGAGCAAAGGTTGTGCCTTCTAGTTCTTCAGGAAGTTGGAAATTATGCTGTTGGCAATTAATAAATAATACCTCAAATGGCAAATCACATTTAACATCAACATTTTGGGTTTGATCTTCATTGTATAAGTTCGACCTTTTTTGGTTCAACAAGACATTATCCAAAGGGCCTTTTAAGGAATTCCGAGATGAACAGACATAATCCTTGCCCTTCAGGGCCCGTCAGTCTTCTGGAAGCATTTTCTCTCCTTTAGGATAACTTCGATTTGACCCTCCTGGCATGGAAAATACATGCGTCATATTGTAGCCTCCTTTCTGACTGGACTTCATATCAGAATTAACATCAGAATTAGTCAGTACTCCGTCCTCAGTGGGGAGGTGCACATGGGCAGAACAACAGAGACAAAAAGGATTAGATAATCGAAAGCCAGGACCTGGGAATGGCAGTGACAGGTGTGCCGTGTACGTGCTGATTTTCTAAATAAAAGGCGACTGAAAGTAGGACATTGGAGAGCTGAAGATGGAAATTCAGAGCGTTTGGAGTGTGGGAAGGATATGGGGTGGCTCAGGTTGCATTGTACCCCAGGCAATGTGCACTCGTTAGCTTCCTCAGGCAGTAGTGGGGAGCGATGGATTCTTCAGGGGCTCGAACCCCAGGAGACCCTCCCTAGCAGCCTGACTAAAAGAAGACTGCTCCCCTACTCACAACACTTCTTACACCAAATATGTGGGTTTTCCATACCAAGCACTTCTCCAATTCTCAGCTGATACCAGTTGGGCGCCCTGCACTTTAATTCAGTTCTGAGACCAGCCAGAGTTAGTGCAGAACCACAGGTTAAGGGCCAGTCCTGCACGACTGCTCCTACTTCAGATGCCAGTCACAAGTAGTGGGGTCTAGGATACCTACACTTCTGTCCAACTTGGTTATAAATTGGGGGGGTTTCCATATCCTTTTTTCAGGTTTGATAATTTCCTGTGATGGGTGTGCTGCCATAGAACTCAGGGAAACATTTTACTTATTCATTTATTTGTTGGTTTATTTATTTATTTATTTTGAGATGAAGCCTCGCTCTGTCACCCAGGCTGGATTGCAGTGGTGTGATCTCGGCTCACTGCAACCTCTGCCTCCTGAGTTCAAGCGATTCTCCTGCCTCAGCCTCCTGAGTAGCTAGGACTACAGGCGTGTGTCACCATGCCTGGCTAATTTTTTGTATTTTTAGTAGAAACATGGTTTCACCATGTTGGCCAGGCTGGTCTCAAACTCCTGATCTCAACCAATCCACCTGCCTTGGCCTCCCAAAGTGCTAGGACTACAGGTGTGAGCCACTGCGCCCGGCCTGCTTTTTTTTTAATTTAAAATTTTATTCATTGAGACAGGGTTTTGCCATGTTGCCCAGGCTGGTCTTGAACTCTTGGGCTCAAGCAATCCTCCCACCTCTCCTTCCCAAAGTGCTAGGATTATATTCGTGAGCCACTGCACCTGGCCAACATTTCACTTATTATTACTGGCTTATGATAAAGGATAATATAAAGGATTCAAATGAACAGATAGGTGAGGTATGTAGGACAAGGTCAGCATGTGCATGCATGAACCAGGCTGGAAGCTCTGAACCCCTTTGTTTAGGGTTGTTATGGAGGCTCATTACATAGGCATGGTTAATTAAATTATTGGCTGCTGATGATTGGTCTCTAGCTCCTATCCCCTGTCCCTTTCCTAGAGGTTAGGGGGAGTTGTGGGCTGAAAGTTTCAACCCTTTAATCGTGCCTTGTTCTTTGACTAGTCCCATCCTGAAGCTGTCTGTAGGGACCCAAGCCACCAGTCATCATTAGCATACAAAAAGACAATCATCAGTCTTGGAGATTCCAAGGCTCAGGAACCAGAGACTGTGCCCAAATATTATAGCAAAACATGTTCCTATCACCCCTATACTCAAGAAATTACAAAGGTTTTAGGAGCTCTATGTCAGGAACCGGGGCAGAGACCCATTATGTATTTCTTATTATTTTACAGTGCCCTTTGGGGGATCTTGGCTCAGTTTGCTTAGAAGATGCAAAGGAAGCAACAGTGGTTTGGGAATCAGGAGACCTAGAAACAGAACTGTGTGAAGAGGCTTTAAGGAGCCTCAAATCCTATCTCCCTCCTGTTATGAAATCCCTGCCAACAGCTTAATCATGTCGAGTATAATAATCCCAGCTCCAACTGGGCATGGTGGCTCACACCTGTAATCCAAGCACTTTGGGAGGCCAGAGTGGGAGGATTGCTTGAGTTTAAGAGTTTGAGATCAGGGCCGGGCGCGGTGGCTCAAGCCTGTAATCCCAGCACTTTGGGAGGCCGAGGCGGGTGGATCATGAGGTCAAGAGATCGAGACTATCCTGGTCAACATGGTGAAACCCCGTCTCTACTAAAAAAATACAAAAAAAATTAGCTGGGCATGGTGGCGCGTGCCTGTAATCCCAGCTGCTGGGAAGGCTGAAGCAGGAGAATTGCCTGAACCCAGGAGGCGGAGGTTGCGGTGAGCCGAGATTGCGCCATTGCACTCCAGTCTGGGTAACAAGAGCGAAACTCCGTCTCAAAAAAAAAAAAAAAAAAGAGTTTGAGATCAGCCTGGCCAACATGGTGAGACCCTGTCTCTACACACAAAAAAATTTTTTAATTGGCCAGGTGTGGTGGCGTGTGCCTAAAGTCCCAGCTGCTTGGGAGACTGAGGTAGGAGGATTGCTTGAGCCCAGGAGGTCAAGCTGGCAGTGAGCCCCGTTTGCAGTACTGCACTCCAGCCTGGGCTACAGAGTAAGGCCTTGTCTCGGAAAAAAAAGAAAAAGTAAATCCTAGCTTTTACTTGAATCTTTCCAGTAATGAAGAGTTCATTACACATGAGACTATCCTCTTTCTGAGAGCTTTAATGCTGAGAAAGTCTTTCCTGTGTTAAAAACGGCCTCCCTGGAATCATCTATCTGTTGCTTCTAGATTGACCCTCCAGAGTTATCCAGAATGACTGGTATCCCTTCTACCCTTTCCGAGCCTTAGTTTCCCCACTTGGACTAGGTGATCCCTGATGATGCTTCCAATGTGATATTCTTTTTTTGTGTGTGAGACCAAGTCTTTGCCCCGTCACCCAGACTAGAGTGCAGTGGTGCCATCTCAGCTCACTGCAACCTCTGCCACCCGGGTTCAAGCGATTCTTGTGCCTCAGCCTCCTGAGTGGCTGGGACTACAGGTGTGCACCACCGTGCTTGGCTAATTTTTGTATTTTTAGTAGGGACAGGGTTTCGCCATGTTGGCCAGGCTGGTCGCGAACTCCTGACCTCAGTGCTTCCAATGTGATGTTCTAAGGTACCCACCACCTATTCTTGGGAATCAGGCAAAGGGGATCATATCTGATGGGAACCTCCCAAGCTCAGGGCTCTTCCTATGACTGGGTAAGTAAGTCTTCTGCCTCAGCCTTCTGGTCTTTATCCCCAGGGCTGCTACCCTGGAAAAGGAAGTGGCCGGGTTGCGGGAGAAGATCCACCACTTGGATGACATGCTCAAGAGCCAGCAGCGGAAAGTCCGGCAAATGATAGAGCAGGTAAGCTGGCTGGTGTGTGACCTGCCCTGGGAGTCACCCTAAGTCTATGCTCTTATTAGGTTCCTAGGGAGCTTGACTTACATTCATGCGCTTCCTGTCACACATTTATAGCTACCAATTACCAGGGTTTGGGTTATTAGGATCTGCTTTGCTACCATCTTTCCCCTACTGTTTTCGTTGTTTGCCATTTAGCCTCTGCTTTCCAATAGGAAAGGAAGGAAAAGGTTAGTTTCTCTTATACTCTGTGAAGAGTGTGGGTCAATGAGTGGTTGAATCCTAATAAACTGTGTTATCTGTGCAGATTATCAGTCTTTGAGCCTCAAGACTGATTTCCTGCCTTACTCTACCCGAGCTTGAGGGTAGTATACTTAGGATTGTCAGTTTGGAGAATTGTTTTGAGAGCCTAAGATGTGCTTCATGTCAGCTCCATTAGCATCTGTTTTATTTACTGCTGTTTTCCATAGTCAAGAACAGAGTCTGTCATATAGTAAGTACTCAATAAATAAATCCTGAATGAAAAATAATTTGTATTTCCCAAAGCCAAACAGAATGGGTTTTGAATCATTCATTATTTTGGATTCTCAGGGTGGTATTCCCCTCACGCATTCCTCACTCCCACCCCTGGGATAATCAAGAGTTTAATACTGACTGAAATGAAGCCTTTGTAGAAAAGCTAATGAAGTCATATGGAGTTGCAGGGCTCTGCTGGCTTCCCTAGCAGCTGGGGTGAAGGCTGGTGAGTGTGTAATGAGTCATTGCAAAATGAGCTCCAGTGTCTCCTACTACACCTTTGCAGCTCCAGAATTCAAAAGCTGTGATCCAGTCAAAGGACGCCACCATCCAGGAGCTCAAAGAAAAAATTGCTTATCTGGAGGCAGAGGTGTGTGTGTGCCCAGCAGGGGAACGGGGCTCCTGAAGAAAAGGTGGACATGTGGGAGACAGAGGTTGTGGAGGGGTCTTTGTCATGTCTTGTTGCTGCTCTGAAGCGAACACGTGGGGTGGCTGGTTGACCTTCAGTTCAGTTGAGAAGACATTTTCTGAGAACCTTTAGGGAGCTGCTAACGATGATGAGAATGATGAGGACCCCCCCCTTCAAGGGACATGTCATCATGGTGCAAGCCACAAGCCATGGCTGCATGGAGGCTAATTCTGACCCTCCAGGCTTTGCAGAGGAGCTGGCAGTGGTGCTGGGCTTTGAAGGAGGAGGAGGCATTCATGCAAATGGAGTCTTTTCTGGGGCTAGATTAGCTAACGAGTTGCCTTCCTAGTCCAACTTCCACTTTGCCACAGGACCCTGAAGAACACTTTGCAGCCACCCTGTGACGATCCCTTGTAGTGGGGGAGATAAATGGGAGAAAGGGTTATTTTCAGGGAATTTGCAGTGTAAAGTCAGAGGTAAAATGTAGGTTTTTAAGAAGACCAGAGAATGCTTTAGAGCATAGCATATCAACAAAGGCAAGTGAATATCTTAACTGAGGACAAAAAATTATATATAGGTGCCAGGTGCAGTGGCTCACGCCTGTAATCCCCAGCATTTAGGAAGGTTGAGGCAGGAGGATTGCTCGAGGCCAGGAGCTCAAGACGACAGCCTGGGCAACATAGTGAGACTTTGTCTCTGAAAAAGAAATTTTTTTTTTAATTAGCCAGATGTGGTGGTAGCATGCATCTGTAGTCCCAGTTACTTTGGAGACTTAGGGGAGAGGATCAGTTGAACCCAGGAGGTTGAGGCTGCAGTGAGCTGTATATAATCACGCCACTGCAACTCCAGCCCGGGCAGCAGAGCAAGACCCTATCTCAAAAAAACAAGAAAGAACTGTATGTCGAGGCTATGTAGGAAACCATCACTATCAGTGTTATACAGAGTTATGGAGGAGCAGGTTTTGGAGGCGAGAGGATATCCAGGTGGTGGCCCACATGGTGCAGGTGGGGACGACAGCAGCGCAAACACAGGCAGAGAGACCAGAATGCACTACCTGAATGTGACACCCGGAAAGCCAGGAAAAGGCCAACTCTAACCCCTAAGCTTGTGTTACAGAATTTAGAGATGCACGAACGGATGGAACACCTGATAGAAAAACAAATCAGTCATGGCAACTTCAGCACCCAGGCCCGGGCCAAGACAGAGAACTCGGGCAGGTGAGTGAGCGTGAGTAGACAGAATGGGCCCAGGGAGGAGGGGAGGCAGGAGGGACGAAGCTGTGTGGAACCTTTAGTGCTGAGGCAAGAACAGGGCTCTTAAATCCAGCTTTCCTCCCTCCGTCTCTAAGCTGGCCCATTGTCTACCAGAACCATTTTCTAACCCAGTTAGAGTAGAGCCTGTTACCACAAGCCTAAGGAGGTCTGTGAATGTGTGGACCCCCTGAAATGGCGTGCAAAATTTATTTATAACGTTTGCCTATTTCTAGGGAGAGGGTATTTTGCCTCTAAGAGATTCAGGAAAGGACCCATGAACTTGAGAAAATCAAAAATCACGGCCATGTCCACTTCTCAGTTGTTTAACTGCCCCTCTGGTTTCATCACCCTTGCTACAAGACACATGTATCATGTCCCAAAGCTTCTCTTAGATGTCACTGATAATTTCTGTTTCAAAACACTTGGGACCCAAGCGATCAGCCGGCACCGTAGTGTAAGCTTGCAGAGGCAAATGTGGAGCGGAGGCTCTGTGAAGGGTGAGCCACAACACAGCTGTTCCCAGCACAGCTCATTGTTTCCAACCTTCTTTTCAGCATTAGGATATCCAAGCCCCCCAGCCCAAAGCCCATGCCTCTCATCCGAGTGGTGGAAACCTGAACTTCCTGCCTGGAGATGGATGCTGCCGTTGCTGCTGCCTCTGCCTCTGGAGAAGCCCACCGCCCCTGTTGGCTGTTAGCACTGACTTTGACTTCCTGTCTCCTGGCTGCACCCAGGACTTAGGGCTCCTTTGTCTCACCATTCCCGAGCTCCTTGCCACCATATGCTGGGCAGATGGAGCACGAGCACGTCTTCAAGGCACTGCAGCCCTTTGGAAGACATTGTCCTGTGAGCAGGAGCCAGGGCACTGTCTGTATTCCTATAGTGACTATTTTTCCTCTGTAGAGAGCCTCCCTTCTGTTGTAGACTGGACTCTGGCTGCCCCAGAAGCCAGGCCTTCATCTGGTTGGGAAAGGTGACAAGATTTGCCTCAGCCCTAAAAGCTGGAGACACAGATGTCCAGAGTGATTGGAGAATGTCCTGGGGGAATGAAGTTCCTTCCAGAAACACAGCTCAGTTCTTAGCAGCCTATGCTGCCCTGGCCTCCTGCAGACAGATAGTGGGGCTACCTGGTAAGGCCTGGACAGAGCCAGTGAACCTAAGCTTTGGGTGGCCTTGTGTTTCTGGGGAGTAGCTTTTTGCAGAAAGATTCTCCAGGACTACAGACAGTTATGTGCGACTTCTCTCTGCTGTGAAAACTCCCAGCGTCTCTTTAGGGATGTTCCCTAAGGACCCACCACAAGGCACACCTTGGTCTTCTCGGCCCAGAGCCTAAAAATTGTTTTCACTGGATTCCACCAGTTCCAGCAAAACCATCATTGTATGTATTTTGCTAAGTTGTTGGTGGTTTTGCTTACATCTCATGACTGTTATAATACCAAAGTTCTGTAGCCTTCTCTTGCAGTGTTTGGATTTGCTTGAAACCAGGAAAACTGTTCCCATTAGGGTTGTTAATGTCAGAGTGACACTATTATAAATCTTCCTCTCCTTCCTCCACCTGTTTCTTCTCCCTTTCTCCTTCAAACTTGATCTGCAGCTCAGGAAGGTAAGTATACTTTCCCTGAGGCCTTGGGGTCAGAGTGTATGTTGTTTGGAGAAGGAGACCCATCAGGACTCTTGTGAGGCCCAGATGAGTTCTTCACTAGCCCTTCTGAACCCCTTGCTCCATAATCGGTCTTTTATCCTGGATCTGAATGACCCTACAGGTCATCATGTTTGTTTGTTTTTTCTTTTGAGACAGAGTCTGTCTCTGTCATCCAGGCCGGAGTGCAGTGGTGCGATCTCAGCTCACTGCAACCTCCGCCTCCCGGATTCAGGCGATTCTCCTGCCTCGGCCTCCTGAGTAGCTGGGATTACAGGCGCATGCCACCACACCCAGCTAATTTTTGTATTTTTAGTAGAGATGGGGATTTCACCATGTTGGCCAGGCTGGTCTCGAACTCCTGACCTCAGGTGATCTGCCCACCTTGGGCTTCCAAAGTGCTGGAATTACAGGCTTGAGCCACTGCGCCTGGCCCATCATGTTTTTCTTTAGGGCTCTTCCTACAGCCTTGAGAAGTAGATAAGCATCAGAGTATGGTATTACAGGAATCAGAAAAATTCAAAACAAATGTGGATTAAGTGTTTAGGCTCTATGTGGCTCACAACCGGAAGCCTTAAGTCTGTGTGTTTCTGTGGCTCAGGACTGGGCTCACATTCTGGCTTTGTCCCTAACAATGCTCTGGGACTTCAGGCGTTCCTCATTTATAAAATGAGGGGTTCGGAGCAGGTGATCTCCATGTTTCTTCCCCTTTTGATATGTTTGCCTGTGGCATATTCTTGTATGGTGAGTTTAATAAATTATGTTAATGTGTCTCTGACCTCCTGGTGTGGTTTGCTTTCACTTTTCAGGGAGGGTGAAAGAAAATTTTAGTGCCTCTTGAAGATGGGCACCCTGATAGCCACATGTGGGAGTTGTGGTCCAGACATCCCAAATGCCATGATAGGAGGACTTTGTGGCATTTATAGAGGTATTAGAAGCAGCTCAGCTCCATAGTCTGAATCGTGATTGTTGGAGGCAGCCCCTAACTTTAGCTTTGACCCTCTCAGGAGCAGTGGCCTTTGTAGGGTCCCTAAGCTCGGCCACATTGTGTCTCGTTTGGAAAAGAGAAAGAGGTAGAGTCCTGTGGTTGCAGAGGTAGACGGGTTAACTGCATGTCCTTTGCAGAAATGGAAAGCACTCTGGAAATGCTGACCACAGCTGTTCAGGGGCGTTCTTTTCTGGCTGTCTCTGAGCATCATTCACTTAGTCCCATGATTTTTTTTTTCCTTTCTGCCAAGAAGGCAGTTGACTGCAGGGCCACATGGGGACATAGCTGAATTTATGCGAATCTTCTCCGGGCCAAGGAAACCAGAAACACAACACACCCTCATCCCTGTTTGTTTCCTTTCTAGCTCCTGTTTCTCTCCTTCATTTGAAAGAGTGTACGTTTTTCTCTTTTCTTCCCCCTTCTGCTTCTCAGCCAATTCACACTGCAGGTTTCAGATGCATTGGAAACCTCTTTCCTTTCCAGACCCGGATTTGTCTTCTGACACCCGTGACTGTCTTCTGTCTCTGGCAGTCTTGTTTGGCATGGGTAGATCTAGACTGTACTTGCTCTCAGAATATTAACAGGGTGTAAGCAGGGTGGGGTTGACCAAGGTGCCAAGAAGACTCACAGGGCTGGAGGAATACCGCAGGCAGTGTGCTGCCGTACACCAAAGGGGGGCTCCCCAGGCCTCCTGCGCTAGCTTGGTGGGAGAAACTGAGATTTGAGTTGCAGATAATGGAGTGGTCTGGAGGCATTCCAGGGACCCGATCCAGGGGTCTAAGAGAGTCCTTGGACAAAAATGTGCCTGTGGTGGATGTTTCCTGGAGTTTAGTTTTGCTACTGTCAAAAGGAGTAGGGGCATGCCACGGGGAAGAGGAGGGGTCTTTGGGAAGGAAATGTGTCAGGGAAAGATAGCTTGTATCTTGGCGATCTTGTCAATTAAAGATGGAGAATGGGGGACCCGAGGAGAATGAGCGCTCAGGGCCTGAGGACGGGTGTGGCGAATCAGGCGCTCCTGGCTTCAGTGGCCTGTTGATTGCCTATGCTTTGTCATTTTTAAGCCAACTCCTTTGTGCTGCCTTAATATTTTGTGGAGGGAGGATAGAGCCTGATTCCCTGGGACCTCTGCCATGAAAGGCCTGTTTCTTTGAGCTGGGTGTTGAGAGCTGCTCAGACATGCAGCCGTCATCAACAGCCTCCTGTAAACCTGGAGCGTCAGCCCGACGTGGGAGAAGCAGCAGGAGCACCCTGCCCCCTGAACAACTGCCCGTGTCTTCCCCATCTTCATCTGTTCCTTCACCTGAACAGAAAAAAGCCTGGCGGTGACACAGCGTTTCAACCAAACAAACAGTGCATTGGAACTTTTTTCAAACTTAAGTTTCTAAGGCCAAGAATTGATTGGCTCATTTTCATCTCTAAAAGTACCTTTCGCTATGAAATGTCCCACTAGGAAGTGTTTCCACTTCGGAAAGGTGCTGTGAGATGACATGAGTTAAAGCAACCTAATTTGGCTGGGGGCGTGGTGGCTCACGCCTGTCATCCCAGCGCTTTGGGAGGCCGAGGCGGGTTGATCACTTGAGGCCAGGAGTTTGAAACCAGCCTGGCCAACATTGTGAAACGCTGTCCCTACTAAAAAATGCAAAAATCAACCGGGCATGGTAGCAGCTGCCTGTAATCCCAGCTACTCAGGAGGCTGGGGCAGGAGAATTGCTTGAACCCCGGAGGCGGAGGTTGCAGTGAGCCAAGATTGCGCCACTGCATTCCAGCCTGGCGACAGAGTGAGACTACATCTTAAAAAAAAAAAAAAAAAAAAAAAAAAAAAAACAGCAATTTAACTGAGGAGAGTAATAACCTTTGGGTTGGAAAAGCAGCTTTCCCTCTGTAACCAGCTTTCAGTGTGTTGCTGTTTTCTGCAGGGCCTCTCATGATCCCCTGGGCTTCCTCACTCCTCAGTGCCAAGCGTCACTGAGCTTGCACCTGATCTCCTTCAGGCTGTGACCCAAGTCTCTGGAGGCACTCCAGAGACTCGAACCAGGGGTCTAAGAGAGTCCTTGGACAGAAATGCGCCAAAAAATTAGCCCAGAGCCCTTGGTCTCTTTTTGCACACTTCCATTTAGGACTTCAGCTTTGCAAGAAATTGTTTCCTGTCTTCTCCAAATTCTAAGCACGATGGCCTTGAAACCCCAAAGCTGGAGACCTAAATATTCTCTATTCTCTCTTTCTCCAAGGAAAATCCATACCCAGGCTGAAGATAAAGAGTTTTTTTTCGATAAAGATGTTTCTTAAAGGTAATTTCCAGCACAGCATGCTCTGTGGCAGTGAGACCAACTTTAAACACTAAAATGTGTGTGTGTGCGGCCTTTCTGCTGGAATTTCTCTTCTCCTGGAGGTCCCTGGGACGTAGAACTGAGGGTGGATAGTGGCAGGATAATTAATTTCCTAAAAGGTGTTGGTCACCAAATCTTAGACCACAGGACCTCAGACAGCT